GATTTAAATTAATAATGCAATGAAGTTTCATGCCAAAACAAAGATAAAATTAGAATTTCAAACCATCCCAACTATCCGAATTAGTTACAGGTTAACTTCTCGAAATCAATTTTACTGAAATACCATTTCACTGAAGTTATCTCATTTTACTAACAAGACATAATTTCAAAAATCTCATTTTACTGAAATATCTGAATCTTTCAGTATTCTACCACTTCATTATTCGAATTCACAGAAGTATTCCATGTGGTTAGAGGTCATAATTCCTAGCTTATGCTGACAAGAACTCGGAATCAAGAATTAGCAAAAAAATAAAAAAGCTAAAAAAAATGAAACTTCGAAGCTGTTATTAACCTGTTGTAGTGTTCCAACCCATTCTAAACTCAAATTCGGGTCTTCTAGGTCGGGAACTCTGCAACTGAAATTAGGATTATACAGATCTGAATTCTTTTTATTCTCGTAATTCATTGCAGCATTAGAATTTAAAATCTCTTATTAGAGTGCGTGAGAGTAAAAACCCGTAAATGCATAATAATTTACTATGATCAGTTACAGGTTTTTCACTTTCGCACCCATTACTGTATTAGCAGGTTCTTGAATATATGTTATGGCATTACTGCTTTTTAAATTAGAAAAAAAAATATGCGTTTTGTTCAAGAGTTATTGCGATATGTTAAAAAAAAAGTGAATATTTCTATATCGTTTCTGGAATATTCGGGTTAGTAAATCATTACTATAATAGGTGTGATCTACGTTATCCATATTTGGTAAATCGGCAGACTGAATTTTGATTGGTTAATGGTAACAGGTGACTATCGGATAATCTCGTGATATGCTTGGCCTTAGGCAGCCTCGTGTAATCTTTATTTTACATTATCTCGATTTTTTATTAAGAAAATCGACTTTCATTTATAATTGAAAAATGTCAATCATGTCAAATTTTATATGAATCTAACAAAAACTCATTTTTTGAAAAATTGTAGACACCCCATATATTTTCATACATGACGTATACTCTAAGCAGCCAATGAAAATTCAAGGATCGACAACCAATCAGATTATACAAAAAATTATTTTTCTATAGTTACGCGTATCCCAAACAACTCTTACGCGTTTTTATTAAAATATATATAGTGTAACCAAACCATCACCAATGTCCACAATTAAAACTGCATGAAAATTAATGGGTTAATTTTGCACTTTTATAATCCTAACCTTTTTACCTTATTCATTTCCTTTCGAATACCTTTGATGCTTTGAAACAATTACTAATGCAGAGAAAGGTCAAAGACATGTGAAGGCTTAGAAGTTACTTGATAATTACAGAAAGGAAAGTTTAAAATTCACGGCTGTTCTCATAAATTCTGGGACAACTAATACAATTTGTTTCGGTCAAATTCGGCCGAATGATCATCGGTCAATTCTCCGAGATAACTATCATTCAAGACTCCGATGCGAGCCACAAAGACAATGTTAGGACACAGGTGGTAAATAACAAGCTAGATGAGTCATTGGTCAAAGCTAGAGCGAAAGAAATCGTACGCTCAACAGCACGAATTCTAAATAATGTATGTATAAATGGTGGTACATTCGATGTAAAATTTACGCAAGAGAATCAACCAGGAAAAGGTAAAGATTTCGACTAAAATTATGTTTTGATTCTAATTAATTGCAATTTTAATTCTTAGAACGATGATAAAGTCTAAAAACAAATGTATGTCCTTAAAGAGGTTATCGAAAAAGTTTATGTTCAAGGTATGGTTTAAAAGTTTAATGCTTCATTTGTTTTTATATAGATTTCGCGCATTTCACTTTATTCTTTTATGACAGAGTCGGCTTATGGACTATCATCTCGCAGTACAGAAAATCACCCCTTCTGCTAAAACTTTTAACAGCACAAATGAACAAATGACCGCGTCACCCCACATAATTGGTAATTCGTCAAATAATTTCTAAATTTGTAATATTTACCCGATAAAAAAAAAAAATCGTGTTTACTTCCAAATATATTATATTCTAATAACATAATATTTAAAAAAAAAATCATGTATTGTTGCAATTTGTAACGCTGATCACTTTGCCAAGAAAATTTTTAACGTGATCGAAGTTTGTTTATGCTTTGCTTGTTGGAATGAAATCCATTTTCGTTTACATAATATAAAATGGAATTCCTTTATCAATATGTTATCAAACACGGAGAGAATCCTGAACAATTTCCAGTTGTTATCGAGGTTGAGAAGAAAAGATGGGCTGTAGGATGTTTCCATGATGATTTGGAGAGAAAAGATCTTAGAAACATTATAATTTTTAGGGAATTTACAAATAAAGGCCCGGAAAGTGAAAATAATTACAAATACGGGCCCAAATTAAAAATAATTACATCTAAGGGCCTAATTTTTAAAAAATATTACATATAAGGGCCCAAAAATGTAACGATCAATTGTTAATTAGTAATTATAAATGAGAAATTTTTTTATTAAATTTAATAAATTTCATTTTCTTTTATAAATTGTTTATTGTTATAACAAACCACTATGAAGTAAAGCATTGCGAATTGGCATAACATTTACTAATATGGAAGATGTTCGTTCAGCTCTAGAGAGCTACTTTGTTGAAACTTCTTCGCCTTATAAAAAAAAATAATTGTGTTAGTTCAACGCTACTTTTTATACAATATTTAAACGAAAATGATAATAACCAGAGCTTCATTTATCCTTTTATCTAATAATCGGTATATAGATAACTCTAAATACCTATAATAAAACAACCGATAATCCTATTATCGCGATTTTGCAATTGTTATAAGTCAAATAGTCACAGTACTTTGTGGCGCAATAACCCCGTGATTATGTTTTTTCAGCCATCAATTGATTTGGGCCCTTATATGTAATATTTTTTAAAAATTAGGCCCTTTATATGTACGTAATTATTTTTAATTTAGGCCCGTATTTGTAATTATTTTCACTTTCCGGGCCCTTATTTGTAAATTCCCCTAATTTTTAACAGGTTAATCGGTGAAGAATTATTACGCCGTAATATACATATTAGAAAGTGGTTTAAGTACTGAAACATCACATCATAACAAAAAAAAAAAAACTTCATCTCTAACATTGTGTTGTAACTATAACTGTCAATATTTAGTGTTCTATATAAGTTTGCTTAGCATTTGAAACACGGCTTCTTTTAAGCAAAGTGCTGAAAAGTCATCTTAAAATCACATGACCTCAATAGTATAGTTTCTACAACTCCGCTTACTCCTAATTCACCATATACTCAGACTCCGATTGTTAGTGTTGTTAATGAAAATAATGTGTCTCAGTCTCCTGATGACGATATCTTAGACTTTTCAAATCACATTTTACTTATTATCATTTCAGTTATAATTAGTATTGTTATTCTTGGGTTAGATTTGTTTTTAGTTTTTAGCACCATTAAGGATGCTATTACTAGATAGAACTTTCATTTTTTTTACTACTGGTAGTACCAAAAAGTAATATATTTGTAATAAATTTTTAATAAATTTGTATTTTTTTAATTTAAAGGAGTGTTGTGTTGCTTTA